GCACGAGCCACCGCGAATAAATTGAAACTGGTTTCAACTAGCCGCCGGTAGTTTCATCCGGGACTCGCGACTCCCCGGATCCACCTTGGACTGTCCCCTTTTCTTTCAAACTTCTTTATTCCGCATTCTCTTTCTTTGAAATCTACTCATTCAGGAATTTCTTCAAGCGAAACCAATTTACAATTATCCAGCTTGATCCCTCTTAATAATTAAATACAACGAGGTTCATACAGAACGTGCAATCCATTCTTGCTTTGAAAGTTCATGACTGATCCTCATCGTCGAATATTGTAAAAATTTATTTAGGGACAAGTATCTTCAGACTGAACATTATAATTCTGCAGGTGTTCTTTTTTAAAGGTTTCCGAATAAGTAAAGCACAATTCTTATAAAGGGAACGTTTTTCCTTGAATGCTATGACCGATCTTCCTTGGGATGAGATATTGTAGAAGTTCATTTGGAGATTGCCAATTTGTTTGAGACAGTAAACTTCTGTTGGCCTATTGAAATTCTTCTGTCTCGTTGATGGCACAGCTGGGTTCGAGCCAATTTAGAGCATTAGGCGAAATTCAGTTGTCCCAGGCCAAGACGAACAGCGTTAATTATTGTAATTACGTGGTTGTTCATCGAAGAGAGAGGCTGGAAATAATCGTTCTACCTATGTCGTTTGCTTTCACACACGTAGTCTGTTTTATTGACCGCATTATTATCTGTACATCAAACAAACATTATTTTATTAGGCCTAAATATTGTCCTGCGCTTCTTATCACGTAGCTTAGCTAAGTAAATAAAACTACAAGTACTACAACAAATAACAAAAAAAATACTACAGTAAAATAACAAATAAACTATGACCAACATGTTCCTACGTCGCTTAAAATCCTGTACTTATCGCAAATTGTACACTAACAACGTATGTTCCAACAATCCTATAATCATTTTTATTTAAATATCTTTTTCTATTGCAAGGCACGCATTGCTGCTTTTCATTAACAAGATAAAAATGTTTTTATTTCTAGATTGGGTGTAATTTTGTTGATTACAAACAAGATATAGTGTTTAGTCTTTCACAAAAATATATCTCTATCAAATAGTTTGTACAATATTCTGTAATATCGCGTAACAATCCTCGCTTTTATTATGGATATGTTAGGCAAAGAAATAGTGTGCTGAGATCTGTGCCTCTACTGTTCCGCTAAATCGTACAAAACATACGTAGAAAATGGCAGTATAGGAACGATACACACATGGAAGACGTTCGACTGACAATAAAACGAAATGATAAAATTAAAGTTTAGCACCATATTATATCCTCTCATAAATATTTCGAGTGTTCGCAACAATAAAAATTTCCAGAGCACCAACAAGTACAAGAAAAAGATAAAATTTCGAATTTGATTCGAAAGGCCATTCGGCTCGGGAAAAATTAAGTACGGAATGTTTGAAGATTTAAAAAATGATAGTTAATAACTATTAAATTCGGAGACACGCGCATACATTAAGAAAATTCGTATCATTCGTCATCATTCAAATTCTGATCTATACTTAGACTGCGGGTATCAATAAATTCCTTAGAATTTCATGATATGTAATTTACTATTGATATTTTGAATCAAGTCTACTGTGTGCATTTATTACACATAAAATCCGCAGTCTACGCAATCCTCTTTAAAGATCTTCGTTCTTTGCAATTAAATAGAACTAAGCTGCCAACCATTAGGACTTTGATATACAACATTTTTCCGATCCTTAAGTACTGTTACCTCTAATAAACGCGCGCCATTTAACAAGAAACAAACGCAAATAATACAAACGCCCTGTGTTAAACTTTGGTCACTTCGTCCAGGGTTCCTGGTGTGTTTGGCGCGTTTATAGAGAAAACGTATTTGTTCGCTCGACATTTATGTAACTCGTCTTCGTTGGAGTTGTCGGTTTGACCTTGTCGACGGCGAATACGCCTCCCAATCACAGGGAAGAATAGATTATGGTCCAACTCGACCTTCTGCTTCCTGTACAGTTGATTCAGTAAGACACTGAGCAGCAATCCGATGGCGACAGTCAATACAAAACCGATCGGACCGTACCACATGTACGAAATCCGATACAAATAGAAATAAGAGGAACTGTCAACCGGTTCCCTAGAAAAAAACGAGATTTCCTTTAGCTCTTCTATGATCAATTTTGGACAGGAATTAACTCTGAATTTACTATTTCTTTCGATATGTAAGAAACAAATTTATTTGTAAAATTAGGGAGGGTTGAGAATAAAGAAATGGATACATACGGAGTTGGCAAGAGAGTCGCGTTTGGGCAAGCAATAGTGCTCATTGGCAATTTCGGCTCGATAGGTCTGGGTTGCCCAAAGGCCATCCAGAACAGGAATGCTAGGGAGACGGTAGCCGCGGTCACGGAACCACCTTCTGACGCCGTTTCCGTGCACATTCCAAGAGTGAACAGGCCGAGAAGAGGACCACCCACGACTCCGAATATCGTGAGACCAGCCTGGGGACGTAAAATTAAATGAGTAAAACAGAAATTCGTTCATCCTTTCATGAAATGATTTCAATAAATCGGGCTCAAAGAAAATGTGCCCTTCACTATTTTATCAATCTCGATTTCATTCTCTAAATTAATATCACAGAAGTTTTCATTCATATAAAAATCTGTAGCCGTGTGTTTGACGTCACCTGTAAAACGCCGCCTAGAAGGTGAGCCAGAAAAGCCACAGCGATAGATATAATTCCATAGAAAAACGCTAGGAATTTGGCAATCGCTGACGACATAGGCAACGTGAAATCCTTGCCGCTGCACTTTTTATACACGGGTTTCAAGTAATCTTCTAATGTTACCGCGGCCAAGGAATTCAATGCGGCTGATATAGTGCTGAGGCCAGCGCTGAATATGCCTAAACGAAGAAACAGAATCCCTATACCGTTGATTGGTTCTCAAAGATAATACGGATACAATTTAGATTAACAAGTACCGGCTATGAAGAGGCCAGGCAGACCGGGCATTTTAGACATGGTGTCCATAACGTAGAGCGGCATCAGCATATCGGGTAACGATATTCTCTTCTGTAGCAACGGATCGCAGTCGTGGTACTTGCTGTATATCGCTAATCCGGAGAAGCAAGTAGTGATCGAAAGTACCGTTAGCACCGGCCACGCTATCCAAAGCGATCTCTGTGCCGCTTTCAGATCTCTGCAAACAGAAATTCGTTCATCCGTTTACAGTCGCTTGTATACACGAGCAAAGTCAAATTGCCTTAAAGCGTTATCTCACTTGACTGTCAATAAACGCTGGACTTGGACCTGATTCACTCCGTACAGAGAGAGAAAAGTGCAAAGGCCGCCTAAAGTGAGCGACCACCAAGTATNTTCTAAGATATATAAACTTTTCGGATTGACTGTACAGCCAATACATCCTTAATCTGTAATAACAAATGTAATTGGAATCGCAGTAGTACGTGTTCATACCTCATAAGCGCTCGTTGCTTGAAGTTTAAAGAATACTGGTAAAAATCCATAACAAACAATTGGCGTTCCTATCAAATACGATAAGTTAATCACGACGAACTGTGTTCCGTACGTGTAATTTTCTGCGGAAACTCCTAACAATGTTATCGCAGACATAAATGAGACTACCAGTGCGACAGCCACGGGTACGACGCTCATCGATCTGCTCGCGATGAAATATTCCTGTTTTAAATACATATCTCTGTTAGTGAAAGTGGACCATTGTAAGTAAAGAGAAATTTGTTACCTCTATGGTCTTCTGTCGTCCACCGCTGAACCTGTAGTAGATTCCTATACCTATACTTATGCATAATGTGGCTGCTATGACTAGGTAATCCTCCCATCTTAAAGTAGCTTCTGCCATACTACTGTTCTCTGTTCAAAGTAAGAAAGAAGTTTGTTGTACAGTTTCGGTGCGTTCACTGAAATGAATCATCGTTAATGTTAACTGCGATTAATTAATCCGTACATAAACTAAGTATAAAGATATGGCTAACGAGTTGCAGTAATCCAGTTGGCAAAGATTCTTGTATCTTTATAGAGGCATAATTACCGTTATCTAGTAGAGCTTATGACTATCTATAGTATCTTGAGTACTTCTAATTCATCAGTGGAATCAAAGTTCATACTTTGTTTTATAAATTCAATAATCGTATCCCAGTTTCTTCAATAGTTTAAGAATAGAAATTAAACAAGATGTTTGCTAATCGATAGGCTCTCATTCATGAAAAGAAGGCACCATAAGGTCAGAGACAAACGTCGTTATGTGTGCCCATAATTTTGACTTAGACCACTTTCATAATTATGGGCACATATATTGTTATCATTCGCTAATTAAAAAGAACACTCGATATTCTCACGTTGCACTACTTACTTGGCAATCTTTTTATCGATCACGTTGATAGAATCGTGATTGTATATCGGTTTCATTAAATCACCACTTGCATCTCTTTGATCAATAAAATATCGGGACATGTTGCTGACTTACCGGGAGATTGGCGACGCGTCCTCCGGTCCGACTTGCTCGAACAGCGTCTCACGCCACAATGGATCACCCTTGAGCCGTTGAGCTTTCCCGGCACAACCGTCGCGTCGTTTAATAGGTTTCGATACAGTATCGTACAAAAGAGTTTAGCCGAGTCGGTGAAACGTAGATACGAGCACGACGCGTGTGCAAAACACGTGGGGAGAGTTACCCGCCAGGCTGAGACAGGAAACAATAGCTACCTATCGCTTTCAGCCACGATTTAAAAAGTACAAATGAACTTTCCTCCGTTCCTCAAGGCCCACTGTATTGTTAGATTGATCGACTCGACGTTGAGTAATATGAGGAAAGTTTCATTTTCCTGTTAAGTAACGTTAGTGAACGCAAAGCTTGATACCGAGGATTTATGAGAAAAATACACATATAAGCTTATTGTGTGAGATACGCTCTTATTGATCCCAGCCAGTGTGCACATTTATTATTCATAAGTCTATTTGTTACATGTAACAATAGTTCATACATCAGTACATTAAATTGATTATTTTCGGTGGAAGAAATTGTATACAAGAAAATAGTTCAAAAGTTGCGCGTTGAGAATCACTGTCCACTTCGTTTGAATTATTATGATTATGCAACCGGGGCAAAGGTACCCGGCGGCATTTAAATGCTTGATTTTTACTTAATTTAAACATGCTCCTTCAAGGATGTCAATATATGCTCTTCGAGTACAGCAATCGCGATTAAAATGTATTTTAACATCCTTCCGGTTTGTTACACCGCATGCAGCCACCAAGTCTATTTATATATGCATTATGCAAAAATTATGTAACTTACATAATATCGTTCGTTAGAGATCATTACCTTGTTCTGATTAAAAATTCAACAGGTATGTACGATAATGAAATGGCTGATAAATGTAGTCGCAAAATTTTTGTATTACTGCGAAACGAAAATCCACTTTAGAGGATTAGAAGCAGGATCGTTTTCTAATAATGCTTAGGATTAGTCGAGCATGAGATGAGACGCAATTTAAATTTAACTACCGGGACTTAAATTCGGAGTTAGGTTTAATTTCGATCTTCAGTTATGGTTGACTTTGCGAATGTCATTTTCACTGATGCGGAAATTCTTCATAATCGACAGAACATCGTGTTGAGCTCTATTGTAACATCTGATTCCGGGCTGCTGTAAATAAAAGTAGCTGCGTCAGCTGTCCGAGAGAAATGAGAGACAGGTGGTTCCGGTAATGTAACAGATATATCCGTGAGGTCGTTGAGTTTATCTCGAGCTGAATGGACATAATACACCGTAGTCACCCTGTCTGCATCTCTCTCGGGCCAGCCTCTGTCTCAGAGTTCCCATCCCAGGTTCTTCTGCGAAAGAGCTCAATGCGCAGAAGCCAATCGTGTGTTTGAAATGGCGGAGTACAGTGAAAAATGTGGTGAGGATTGTTCTTTCGATTACAGCGAGGATAATCAGAAAGGTGTCTGTCTGATTAAAGAGGAGTAAGCTAATTTCATTATATTTACCTGAATTGCACACTTTTTCCTCGAATCGTTAATTATCACACGCATCCACAACGTAACCTCTATTACCCTAACCTCGACGAATTGTGTCTATTGAATATTTATCACTTGTTACGATCCCGAAAATATTTGATTTACTTGAACCGTTTATTGAACTCCTTAATTTCGTATACTACGGAACTCCGGTTTTTTAACTTAATTCAGGTCGTGGTTCTGTGTAATGTATATCAATATGAAATTGTTGCGTAGGTTCGTCATAGGAGACCACGTCAGACTGTTGACTGAGGAATGTTTGACCAGTACTGATAAACAAAAGGTTTCAAATAATGTCGTCAATGCAAACGATGATGCGTCTGGCGAAGAGCCACCCACAAAGAAGTTTAAAAACGATGATAAGAAGGAGAAACTCAAGGGGCAAAACAAAGCGAGACCACTGCCGTTCAAAGCACAACGCGAGCTGAACCTTTGTCCATGGATAGCTGACCAAGCAGTCGGCGAACCTGAGAAGATATGTGACAACAAACGGTGTACCTTCTTGCACGACAGAGTTGAATATTTGAAAATCAAGCCAGAAGATATCGCAGATGAATGTTATCTGTTTGAACTGACTGGCAGATGCCCCAGGGGTACAGCTTGTAGAATGGGTGCTAAACATTTAACAGAAGAAGGTTTTAACCTCGTGGATAAGGACAAGTATGAGGAATTTAAGAAGAGGCCTGCCTCTACTAGGAATCACTTAACGAAGGAGATACAGGTTCAGTTGAGGAAACACAAATACAATTTCTCGAAAGCAGAGAAAATTGTCGAGGCGAACGAACCATCGAGAAAGAAATCAGAAGCTCTGCAAAAGATAAAGGATACTTCCAGTAATGAGAAAAATGGTTCTGAGTTGATAAAAACCGTGGAACAAAAGATCGGTCCTGTCGAGGATTACGATTTAATAAAATGCAGGGAGTCTGAGAAGAAGAGAATAGACTGGAAGGACAAGATATTGTTGAGCCCTTTGACAACCGTCGGCAACCTACCGTTCAGAAGAATTTGCAAGGAATACGGGGCGGATATAACATGCGGCGAAATGGCTCTAGCGCCAAGGATATTGAAAGGAGCCCACGAGGAATGGGCGCTCGTCAAACGGCACGAATCAGAAGACGTCTTTGGCGTGCAACTCTGTGGCAATAATCCCGGAGTGTTAACGCGGTGCGCGCAGCTTTTGAACGAGAAAATCGATGTGGATTTCATCGATCTGAACCTCGGCTGTCCAATAGATCTCATTTATAGGCAAGGCGGAGGCAGCGGCATGCTGAATCGGTTGCACGTATTGGAGACTGTGATAAAATCCGTCAGCCAAGCGATGGACATCCCTCTGACTGTAAAAACTAGGACGGGCGTTTACATAGACAAGCCCATCGCGCACACTTTGATGCCGAAGTTCCGCGAGTGGGGCGTCTCCATGATTACTGTGAGTGAGTTTTCGATTCCAATTATAAGAATATATAAAATACATGTATAAGAGAGATTTAAAAACTTGAAATTGATCCAGGTTCACGGTAGATCGCGCGAGCAAAGGTATACGAAGCTGGCCGACTGGGATTACATAGACAAGTGCGCGAAAACGGCGCATCCGGTTCCAGTGTTCGGTAACGGGGACGTTTTGTCGTTCGACGATTACCAGAGAGTCCGCACCGCGTACACCTCCGTTTACGGTACTACTATCGGCCGTGGCGCATTGATAAAACCGTGGATATTCACGGAGATCAAGGAGAAGAAGCTGCTCGATATATCCAGCGCAGAGAGGTTTGAGATACTACGGAAGTACTCGAGGTACGGCTTGGAACACTGGGGTTCGGACACTCGCGGCGTCGAGACGACAAGGAGATTCATGCTGGAATGGATCTCTTTCTTGCACAGGTGAGTGCGTCACGATTTATGAAAATAATGAATCATTAATTAATAAAATATAAATTTTTATGTTATTATCAGGTATATTCCTGTTGGGATACTGGAGAGACCTCCGCAAAGGATCAACGAGAGGCCGCCGTTTTATAGAGGACGCGATGACATGGAAACGCTTATGGCCAGTTCAAACTGCGCGGACTGGATCAAAATATCGTAAGATTTCTCTCTTTCACTTCGACTCTCAATTGATTCTTATTTTCCTTTTTTCTATAATATCAATTTTATTTTAAGGGAAATGTTGCTGGGAAAAGTGCCTGAAGGATTCCACTTCCTACCGAAGCACAAGGCGAACTCGTGGAAATAATTATATGTAACAAGTAAAGATAATTTTATATCGCAGCATTTTTTTCTCCCTTGAATAAACCTACGGCAGTTGAGATTTATTTCCTTTTTCGAGAACCACACAGAGACGCAGGCGAAATAAATGAAAGTTAGGATACAGAATAAATGAGATATAGAGATTACGAATTATTTTTATTACTGATTCTGTTTCACACTGAATGATAAATTGAAGACATTCGCTGTCCAAGTTGAGAATCGTAGTGGTACGATTTCATAAAATAGAATCTTGTAAGCGTGACAGTTCAGTTGATTATAAAGCTAATGTTTTTACATCATTACGATTCTCAACTTTGGAATCATTAATTCCTGAGCTCCGATTCCTTTGATTGATAATGTTCGATTATGTCTCCGAAAGTAGATATTGGCCACATGCAGTCGCAACCGCTGGCGATCTCCTTCACGTCAGGTTCCCAACAGTCGCTGTTCCGTCGACGCCTCACCAGAAACAGCGTTTTACTCTTTTGCACGCAATGAAACCCGGGAGGGTGCACGCATTCCTGAAACATGCTCCCATTCAAAGCCAAATTCCCAAACGAAACGTATCTCATAAAAAAAAGGTACATTGACGTTAATATTAATTCAATTTATCAATCTTAAATCCATATTAAATTCGCTATTACTAAAGCCGAAACTTTGGTTTCAGTGTCTATTCATTGGGGACACCGGAAGATCAATTTTAATTGATCATGAAAATAAGGTAAGTAAAACAAATTAGAATTTTCCTGTTTCGATCTACCTGTATCAATGGGTTCGCGTTTTGCAAGTTATTTATCAACGCGTGATTTTTACAATAAACCTCATGATAAAGAGGCGGTAGATACTCGTACTCGGTGTCGCGTAATTCCGTGGTTTTTGTTACGGTTTCGCATAGACTACGATACTCCTATGAACAGAATTCCAATACAATTAGACATTATCTCTTTTTTCTCTTTCATTCTTTATTGTCTTATACACTGACGGGAGATAAGTTTCTGTCGTCCCGAACGTTGGACATTGGCTGTTCCTCTTCTTCGACGTAATTTTCCTGTCCAGGTAAATGCGAACCGCCACCCGTCAGCTGAACGCGGAGGAGAGGATGGAAGTTCTCCGGGTACCGGCTATTTTTTCTCAACGCTTCAAAACTTTGATTGCACCGCTGGCAGTAGTTATACGTAGCCTTTGTCATCATCGCCAAAGTGAGGACCTGTGTAAAGTAAGTAATTTGCACTACGTCTTTTTTCTGAGTTGGGCAGGAAGCAAAGTACATTAAAAAAAATTAAAAAAAGGATTGTAAGTGTGTCAATATTAGTTAGAATTGCTGTTCTTTAAACTAGAAGAATAAATGTTCAGACAGGATCGGTAGAGCCGCGAGAAAACATCAATAATCGACGATCGTTCTACCGTTTCGTCGGTTAGATGATTAAACCGATTCGCTCCGCTGCTATTCCCACTTGGCAGGACCCTCCGCGTGCGATTTATGCTTTATCAAGTTTGATGGGTCTCTCGAACGTTACGTTACGCTGAGACCTCCGCCGATGCTTGAATTTTAATGACACGGCTCAGTCTCATGTTTTCAATAAAACATTTAAACGAATCGTATGACCGTTTCAACGAGATGAACGAGTTTAAGAAAAGTAGACTTTTTTTTAATCGGTTCTTAAGCAGTGATTCGATCGGACGAAAATGATCAGAGAAAGATCGATCGAGTCTCGTGATCAATTGAATCGATGAGGTCATAAATCAGCGTCGCGTGTTCGCGAATCCCAGAAGATGATGCTACCGCGAAGACCAGCAGTGTTCGAACCGAACGGTCAGCAAGGTCGATCATGATTGAGCTGACGTGGTTCGCGTCGTACGATATAAATTAGTCTTCCCCGTGCTCTGAGTCTCCGTGGCTCTCCTCTTAAATTGACCGTGGAATAGTACTTAGCGGAAAAGAAACAGGGAAACAATTTCGGAACATGTTATTCGCGAAGCTCGATAAGCTTTCAGTCTCAAGGTAATTCATTTAGAACTATCACTGCTTTTGACTCACGTTTCCGTATCATTTCATACTCTCTTCCACATTGTTTGAGATAACAAACAATGCCTCTACTAATAAGAGTTTTCAAGCTTCCTTAACTATTGGGAAGTATTGAAGAAAATCATGTGAGACAAAGAGGAAGGGGTGCAAATGATTAAAAGTGAATTAGCACTTGGGCCGGGGGTTAGCAAGGGGGGAGTGGTGAACCTGAGCTCTGCTATCAATCGTGCTCTCCGCGAGAGCTGTGCGACACGTCGCTGTAAGTAGTTATCCAATTGACAGTGCCCCCGGTCTGACATAGTTCAGTCGGCGACTTATTGTTGGTACGATCCGACTGCGTCTCTGCGAGCAGTGACGTTCTTGGCTCTACCGGTGCAACCGAATTTCTCGTTCCACGTATGCATGCAACCTGGCATAGTGCTATCTCTTATCCGTCGCTGAATCGAACAATGAGCTTTTACGTATCACGGTTTACCGGTCCGAGGCTGCATCAATAGTGAAACCGTTCGTTGAACGTCCTTCGGTATAGTGAAAGGAAAGGAAAAAGGATCTGTTAGCTCTGTCGAAAAGAATTCGCGATGACGGTCCCCGCGAGGGTGACCTGGTGGTTCGAGACCGCCGGGTAGCTCCGGTGAGAAAGAACCCGGTCAAGGTTGACCGTTGCCAGTGAAACCGGTTGATCCTTTCCCACCAACAACCCTTCTGGTGATTCCGGAGGGATCTGTCCTTTGGGGGGCTAAGATGCCAGAACTGAATTGAGAGAAGATATGGCAGCTGATCTGTACGCGAACGGATCCGTAAAGTCAACGTCCGGCAGGTGAGAGATAACGATGATAAGAGGTCACTTTCTCAGATAAATACCTGCCTCTTTCACGCCCCTTCTATTCTCGGTTCGTCGGATCAGCTATCATCGATAAAAGTCGAATAATTTTTCCCTTTGACTAAGAAGATGATTTCTAATTAAATCCGTGTGGGATTTAGAAAAGGATATATTCAAATGATTCGAGAAATCTGTATGCACATTGACTGAATCGAATTACCGGTAAGAACGAGAATTCGTGGAATCTCAGATCGTGAGGAACTGTTAATAAAGGCGAATGTGTAATTTCGTATGATTCATTGGGAGGAACGTGATTTTCACGCTTTTTTCGCCGATCGCAATTTTCATGACAATGAAACGGTTTAATAGCCGTCGCTGCTGTTCGAGTTAATAACCAATTGACCCCCGGGCCTCGCGAGTATTTCATTGATGAGAACTTGACCGGATCGTCCCCCCAAAAAAAAATTCCTCCAAATTTTCTGTGGCAGAAATATTCCGTCGCAATCGGAACGATTAGTTTTGATCGCACGATCTGAAACGAACAAATCAGTTGACTTGATCTCTTGAAAGTCGTTTCAATAAATTCGCGTGGGAAGAATCACAGATTAAAAGGTATCTTCGGGTTGTTTTAAATTTCATTTCTAGTTTCGCTTGGGAATTTAATGATCCAATTACACGAGTGACACGCGTCGATGCAGAGGTGGTACACATCATCAATTATGAATATAGCGTTCACGTAACCGACGCGAATGAAAAAGTTAAACTGAACGGTCGCTTGTTTTGTTTGATAACATTGACAAGGATCTGCAAATGTTGACCCATCTCTAACAGTTTTTACCCGGTGTTCACTGTCGACGGGACGCTAAATGCTTCGCTTTCTGACTTCCTATAAAACTCGTTCAAATGATTAATAAATAATAATCTTTTTACCATTCCTATTAAATGTTCTATAAAAAATTATTGCAGTTTCGTGAAGATCGAGCAGAATGATATTAAATTTTAAGTGACGTTTACATTTGGCATAGTTAATAAATGGAAGAAGAGAAATCAGGAAAGTGGTTGAAGACTTAAACCTTTGCACTCCAAATTTTATTTGAATTTAGTTACCAGCAGCTGCCAACGCTTTTAAGTGTTTCATTTGAAATTTACTTTGACTAATAAATAAGGAAGCAACAAATTCACTTAAATACTAGTTTTATTCACACTATTTTTATATTTTGTAATTTTCAAGTGTATGATATTTTTTTAAATAATTTCCAGGATGCAATCCTGGTTTTCTGTCGACGTCTATTGATTTGGACATGAAAGGAATCATATTCGACATAGGAGTGCAAAGGGTTAATCGTGAGATTCTTAAACTGAAAGACGATTAGCAAAGGAGTAACGTGCAGTTTAGGAAATCAATTAGATTCGACGTCCGGCGAGGACGAGAGGAACGTCCCATCGAAAGCTACGTGACGTGTTTACCGTCGATCCAATACCATCCAGTAGTTATTATTTGCTCCACATTGCCAGTCATGAGTCTTGCCGCAAGTGGTCTAATCATTCTGTTTTTCGCATCAGCGAGACCGGAATATTTTTTTCCCTTCGTACCGTTTAAGCCTTCCGCCGTTTAGAACCGGGGCACATTTTAGGGATCCTCCTAAGCGGATCCTGGTAGTTTTTAAATATGAACACGCGTTCGGTACACGCGTGCACGCCGTAAGTAGATGTAATGCCGTGACTCGGGTAATCGCACGAGGTTGGTTATTTGGGTTAAAAGTTTCATTTCCTGTGCGGAGAAGCGGCGACTTTAATTCAAGTTTATAGTCGCCTACGTTCATCTCGAGCGATTCTCTCATTTTCGCGTCGCTCCCGTTCTTATGTGTATTTCTTTTTGCAACACACTTTTCCGGTTAATATTCCTGCGCTTGTTTAATCAGACAATTAGATGGTGCAAAAAATTTTCGCCAAGACGGATTTAAACCTGTTAGCAGGCCGCGAATGACGCTTAAACAGTGAGAATGGTCTTTTAAAAATCGTTCAAACAATGCGAGGCTCGGATGTATTTAAAAAAACAAAATGCGCGGTACTTTTTTTTAGTTTGAGACCGGTTTTAAATATGAATATTTGTACGGATGATATGTCTTCGGCTGGAAACTGGCAAAGGTCCATTCACTATCGGATTATTTTTAGGTAGCGAGATAGGGGCTACCCCTTGACGGTGGCTAAAAATAGCCGGTAAGGCCAATCCAGCTCCAATTATTCCATTTAGGTATTTAGGTGACAATCGACTGACCGCCAATTTAGAAATATTCCACACGCCGCCGCCGGCAGCCACGAGTTCCTCCCTGCGCTCTGAGCGCATGCAAATATAACCGCCGGAGAAACCCTTGTCGCTCTCTGTGCTTTGTTAATACGTAAAATAAATCTGATAGATCGTCCTAAATAATTCGAATGGCAAACGGGGGTTCATGCTTAGACAGTGATAATTTCTATGAGAGGAACAGCGAAACAATTTTCAGTTCTGATGTTTAAATAAATTCGAGGTACTTTTAATTAATAACACTTGGGATTTGTAGTTTTGTTCTCGAGTAATTCGTGTTGGAACTTTGCGTCAGTGGAACAGTGCGCCTGGAGCGGTGCAACCCGTCTAACTGGGACGTTTGTTTGTACGTAGAATCACGGGCGGCATGAGGCAACGTAAGACAGGAACGCTTGGCGCCGCGGCGCCCGTTTCCACCGAGGAGGAACGGTTGAAGTTCCAAGACAACAGGTTCTTGACGACACTCGTACTTGGAAGAAACAGGTGAGTCCATCGTCTTTCATTCAATTTATAACATAATTAAGGTTGTATGAACCCTTAAATAAAAATAATGACAAAAACCCTTACAAAAGAAATTGGAATTTTAAGTTA